GTTTTGCTTCCCCTCTGAAGGCTGGGTCTTTGGGCTGCCTAATGACCCCTGTGCTGGGGTCCCGGAAAGAACGAAGGGCTCTCTATCTGGGGTCTGGTAGGGAAGGAGCTCTTTGTCACTTCTTCGGGGCCCCTCCCCCCTTTGGTGGCAGGTGGCAGGGAATTAGGAATCTGATAGCACCACCCTCAGCTGGTTCTGACCCCCCTGGAGCCCATTCCTGTGTCTCGGTTGTCCCTCTGGGGGTCCTGGACTGGGGACTGGCATATTCATGGGATAGGCCTCTCTCTCTCTCTAAGTCTCAGCTCTCTGGGCCAGGGACATCTCCCTTTCTCCAGGGCTCTCAGAAGTAGCTGTGAAACTGTCACCAGCCTGGTTTGATATCACCTCATTTGGGAGGTAGAATTAGGGGAAGGGGCATTTTAATCACCCCCCCCAAATCCTGAACCCCCTTCAAGGATCCACCACATTTAAGGTGGGAACTGAACTGGGCGTTAGAGAATCAGGGTAGAAGTTGGGATGGGGCCATGGTGTGGGTGAAGGCCGGGAAGTGGGAGCCAGCCTGGTGCCCAGGGGGCAGTTGAAGGAGCACGGCCCCTCTGGTGACGAGGCTTTAGGGGCAGACCTAGCTGGAAAGGTGGGCACAGTCCTGGCAGCTGTGCCGTCTAGTGCAGTAGCCACTGGACACAGGTGGCTATTTAACCTTAACGACAGGGACTTCCCTGGTGGTCCAGTGGTCAGGCCTCTGTGTTTCCACTGCAGGGGGCCCGGGTTTGATCCCTGGTTGTGGAACTAAGATCCCACATGCCTTGCGGTGCGGCCATAAATAAATAAATAAATAAATGAATGAATAAATGAATAAAATAAACTTAAGGACAGTGAAACAAAAGGAAAAATTCACTTCCTCAGTTACACTGGCCACAGTTCAAGTGCTCACTGGCTCCTGGGCTGGACAGCACCGATGGAGAGCCTTTCCCTCGCTGTAGAAAGCAGGACAGGACAGTCCAGAAGCACTGTGAACGGCAGGCTGAGAAGCTTGGACTTCATCCTGGGGAGGTCAGGAAGGGGTCGAAGGGCAAAGGGCAGGGTCAGAGCTGGGTAGCAAATGACCACAAACTTAGTGTCTTAAAACAAAAGAAAGGTGTAACCTTCTAGGTCTGGAGGTCTGAAGTCCAAAATGGGTCTCACTGGGCTAAACATAAAGGTGTAGGCAGGGGGACTTCCCTGGTGGCACAGTGGTTAAGAGTCTGCCTGCCAGTGCAGGGGACACAGGTTCAATCCCTGGTCCAGGAAGATCCCACATGCCGCAGAGCAACTAAGCCCGTGCGCCACAACTACTGAACCTGCGCTCTAGAGCCCGCGAGCCACAACTACTGAGCCTGCGAGTCACAACTGCTGAAGCCCATGTGCCTAGAGCCCGTGCTCCGCAACAAGAGAAGCCACTGCAGTGAGAAGCCCGCACACCACGACAAAGAGTAGCCTCCACTCTCCACAACTAGAGAAAGCCCACACGCGGCAACGAAGACCCAACGCAGCTAAAAACAAATAAATAAATTTAAAAAAAAAAAGGTGTAGGCAGGGATGCGCTCCTTTTGGAGGCTCCGGGAGAGAATCCGTGTTCTTGTCTTTTCCAGCTTCTAGCAGCTGCCCACGACCCACGCCCCTTCCATCTTCAAAGCCAGCAACGGCCAGTCGAGTCTTCTCACGCTGTGTCACTCCGACACTGACTCTTCCTGTGATTACACTGAGCCCAGCCGGATAACCTGGGATAATCTTCCTGTTTTAAAGCCAGCCACTTAGCAACCTTCATTCCTTATGCTGCCTTAATTCAACCTTTGCCACATAACATATCTGTAGGTTCCAGGGATTAAGATGTGGGCATCTTTGGGAGGCCATTTTTCTGCCAACCACACCCACCATGTGTGAGACAGTGGGGCTGCAGAGTGAAAAAACAGACACGAGTCCCCTGCTCTTACGGGGCTGACATTCTGCTGGGGGAGAGAGACGGCAAGTGTCCCGCAGTGTGGGGTGGCGATAAATGCTGTGTGAGCAGATAAAGCCAGGCAGTGCTATACAGTGATGAGAGTGATCGGGTCATCAGGGAAGGTGTCTCAGAGGACTCACCTGTCTGCAGGGACTTGGGAGAAGTAAGGGAGGTTCTGGGGGAACCATTCCAGGCAGAGGAAAAGCAAGTGCAGAGGTCTTCAGGCAGGACAAGTGCAAGGAGTAGCATGGTGTTGGGCGGGGTACCAGGAAAACCCAGGATCCACCCTGACTCAGCACTGTCCCTTGCTTGGTTGCGGGCAAATCCCATCCCTCCTGCACCCAGCTTTCCCATCTGGACAAGGTAAGGTTGGGCCGGATGGACACCCCCAAGATGAGTTTGTGTCCTTGAAACGTTGATGGTGGTGGGGTCGCTTTGGAGGAAATCTTCCGGGGCAGCTCCACGGTAAATATGGACACAAGCCATACTGCTGGCTTTGGGGGAGGGAGCCTGCCCCTCCGCTGCCTCTCCCCCTCCCCCGAGGGCCTTGCTGAGCAGCCTGCAGTCCCGAGGCCCCCTGATTTCCATTTGTCTGCTTGGTTCCAGCCTCATGCTGGAGATTCCACAAACCATCTCTCATTCCATCCTCCACAGCTTTCAGATCTGAGCTCTGAACAATAGCTCCTCAAGAAGGCCTTTCCTCACCCTCTATATCTAACCGTATTTGCCAGGTCTACCCTCATAATACTGTCTCTCTATCATCGTTGTATCTTGGTTTGCTTATGATCAAATTTACCAGTCTTTTCCTCTACGATCTGTACTTTTTGTGTCTTAAAGATACTTTCTCTGCCTCTGAGGTTACTAAGGGATTCTCCTTTATTTCCATCTAAATGCTCTAGAGTTTTGTGTTTGAGACTTAGATCTTAAATCACTAGAAACTTCTGTGTATGCTGTGAGGTAGAGAGCCTCATTAGTTTCTATGTTGCTGTAACACATTACCAAAATCATAGGATTTAAACAACACAAATTTATTTTATAGTCCTGGAGATCGGTAGTCCAAAATCAGTCTGAGTGGGCTAAAATCATGGTGCTGGCCAGGCTGTGTTCCTTCTGTCTTTTAAAATTATTTTAATGTTATTTTTTATTTTATTTATCTACTTATTTAAATTTTTATTTTGCTGTGTTCCTTCTGGAAGCTCTAGGGGAGAACCCATTTCCTTGCCTTTTTTAGCCTCTAGAAGCTGACTGCATTCCTTGACCCGTGGTCCCACATCACTCCAGTCTCTGCTTCCATTGGCACACCTCCTCTGACTCCTCTGCTTCCCTCTTTCCCATGTAAGGACTCTTGTGATTACACTGGGCCCACTGGAATAATCAGGATAACCTCCCATTTTAAGAGCTGATCCTTCATCACATAAGCAAAGTCCCTTCTGCTGTGTGGAAGCCAACACACTCACAGGTTCTGGGGATTAGGATGTGGACATCTTTGGGGGACCATTATTCTGCCTACCACAGGGTCTCATTTAATTTTCTTCCCTATCTCTCAGCTCATTCACAGATTAGCTATCCTTTCCCCACTTATCTATAGCTGGGGCTGGCGAACTACACTCCATAGGCAGAATCCAGCCCACCTACTGTTTGTTTGTTTGTTTTTGCATTACGAGGGCCTTTCACTGTTGTGGCCTCTTCCATTGCGGAGCACAGGCTCCGGACACGCAGGCTCAGCAGCCATGGCTCACGGGCCTAGCCACTCTGCAGCATGTGGTATCTTCCCGGACCGGGGCACGAACCCGTGCCCCCTGCATCGGCAGGCGGACTCTCAGCCACTGCGCCCACCAGGGAAGCCCTCACTTACTGTTTTGTAAATAAAGTTTTATCGGAACACGGCCACGCTCGTCCACATATCACAATGCATGTGTCTGCCTTTGCGCTACAACAGCAGCGCCGGGTAGTTGTGGCAGACGCAGTATGGCCTGCAAAATCTAAACAGATCTACTGTCTGGCCCTTTATAGGAAAAGCTTGCCAACCTCTGATCTACAGGTGGGGACCACCTCCTATTAGCACCTCGTAAGCGCAGGTCTGTTCCTGAGCTCTCAGTGCCCTCCCACTAGCCTATTCCCAAGCCAGCACCACCGTCCTATTACTACAGCTTTGTAATAATTCTTGGTATGAAGGGAGGCAAGGCTCCCCTACTTGTTGTTCAAAGTGGACTTGGCTTCTTTACTTTGTGTTTGCCACTACTTGGTTGGTGTCCACCTCCCTCACTAGACCAGGTCTGTCTTGTTCACTGCTGTGTTCCTAACACCCTGTGCAGGGCCCGGCACACGGTACCTGCTTAATTCCTATCTGTAGAACGAAGAGCAGTCCCATGTTCGCTCAGTCATCCTTGTTTTATAGCTGGAGAAACAGGCTCCAAGAGGGGAACCATCTTTGCCTGAGAAGTTGCTTGTAAAGGCCTTATAATACTCCCATTTGGGAATTCCCTGGCGATCCAGTGGTTAGGACTTGGTGCTTTCACTTCCGAGGCCCTGGTTCGATCCCTGGTCGGGGAACTAAGATGCCGCAAGCCACAGCCAAATTTAAAAACCCGCAGCATCAAACAAAAAACCCTCCCATTTTATAGATAAGGCATCTGAGTTCAGAGAAGCGACAAGCTCGTCCAAGGCCCTGCGGCTTTTTAGTGGGTCAGGGCTGGCTCCAAAGCTTGGCCTTCAAATTGTTTTTACTCTACTGGTATACACCCCTTGTTCTTGCCTTTATGATTTAGCTTATCTTGGGAATACTTCCACGTCAGTGCATGTAGAGCTGACTTTTTTCCCCTACAGCTACATCTTCCATTCTCTGGCTGTACTGTAAATTCGTTAGCTGGTCCCCTTTTGATGGGCACTCGGGTTGTTTCCCATCTTTGGCCACTGCCGTCGCACTGCAGTGAACATCCTTAATCTTATACCTTTTTTCACGTGCTTATCTATAGGATAAATTCCTAGAAGTGGAATCGTTGACACGAGCATGCGTGCATTTAAAATTTTTTATACATACACTCAATGGCCAAAGTGGAGGCACTAGTTTAAACTCACAACATTGAGGAGAGCCTGTCTCGCCACACTCCTCAGCAGCATAGGATGCTAGCAGATGTTTAACCTTTGCCATATGAAGAGGTGTGAAAAACCAGAGCCAGGGCTTTCAAACCACACCTCCAGGTCCATGGTTTGGGGCCCCGTGCTAACTCTGTGGGTGATGTTTTCCCCTCCCAGAAACGAGTTCCTCCTGCTAAGTCTGAGTCCAGCGCGGGGGCCAACCTCCCTTCCGGCTACCTGGAAGAGGCAAGTCCATACAGCCTGGCTCAGAGATGCCACCTCTTTATTGACTGGGGCTGGCAGCACAGGGAGCCAGTGAGCCAAAGGGAGGGTTCACTCCCGCTCCCCTGGGCTCTCGGCCTGGTGGTGGCTGCGTTGGTGAAGGAGTAGGAGGCGTCTCTGGCCAAACGCCTGGCCGCAGCTGGAGCAGCGATGCCGGGCAGTGACCTGGCTACCCGGTGCCGTCGGGGGATCGTGACATAGGCGATGGGCGGCCAGTTTGGAGGGGAATGAAAAAGCCTTGGGGCAGTGCGGGCAAGGATAGGGACGGGCGTCGGTGGCATGGTGCGTATGGCGGTGGGCCGCCAGCTTGGAGGGGTAGCAGAAGGACTTGGGGCAGTCGGGGCACGGGTAGGGGCGGGTGGGCGCGTGGGTCCAGAGGTGGGCTGCCAGCTTGGAGCGGTGGCCGAAGGCCTTTGGGCAGTGCGGGCACGGGTGCGGACGGGCGCCGCTGTGCGTGAGGCGGTGGGCTGCCAGCTTGGAGGGGTAGGAGAAGGCCTTGGGGCAGTCGGGGCATGGGTGGGGGCGGGCGCCGCCGTGTGCCAACCGGTGCGTGGCCAGCTTGGACGGGTACGAGAAGGCCTTGTCACAGTCGGGGCAGCGGTGCGGGCGCTGGGGCGGGGGCCGCCGGCGGGGTCGGGAAGGCGCCCCCGCAGACGTGGCGGGCCCTGGAACCAACTGGCTGGGCTTCTGCGGCGAGCCCTGGTAGGGAGCTAGGGGACAGGAGGGTTGGTGGGCTCCAGGAAGCAGCCAACGCCCTGAGTCTACACCAGGCTCCCCCTCGACCTTGACATTCTAGTGTGTCTGGACACCTGAAGGGTCATACTGAGATTCCCCAAATGGCGTGTTCCTGCTTCTCACCCCTGCCATGCATCATCCTAAGGGGCTCCAAAGGGTTACCTCGCTGGAACCCCAGAGCTAAGGCTTCCCCAAAGCTACTAAAGTGTCCGTTTCTAGTATCTTCCCAAGTGATCACCCTGAAATCCCGCATGTCATCTCCCCTAGAAATGAGGGGTCCCTCCAAGACAACCTGGAGGATTCCCCAGAACTTGGTGCTCTTGGGGATCCGAAATGGTTATCACCCTGGGCTTTCAAAACTTCACCCTGAGATTCCCTCAACATACGATTCTCTTGGCCCCAGTTCCTGGAGAATGCCCCCTACTCACCGGTGGAGCCGCCCTCACCTTCTCCGTTGGTCACAGGCTCCTTGCCAGTGGGACTAGGATCGGTGCCCCGGGCCACAGACTCAGCGTCCCGCTCCAGCATCTTGCTGGCCCAGAAACCTAAAGGGAGGGCCTAGGGTGGGAGAGGGGGCGACGCCGGTGTTTATCAGGCTGTTGGGGGAAGGGCTGAGAGCCTAACAATCAAGGCTCAGTATGTTTAGGAGCAGGGTCTATTTAATTCTGGGGTCCTATAAGGCGAGGGTGGGCGGAGCCTAAGGGCACAATGGGCGGGGTTATGCAAACCCGACCCAGAAGCAGTCTATTTGGAACTTAGCCTCAGCGTTTGAGCCTTCGAGCGGAGTGGGCGGGGCCTCTATAACTAACTCCCAGCCGCCCCAGAGCGCGGAGCAGGCGGGGCCTATGTCCAGAGTGGGCGGAACCGGCCGAGGAACCTAAGACGGGGATGGGTGGAGCTATACTAATAAGACCCAAAGTCGGTTGCTCAGCAACTCTGTCCCAGGGGAGGGGCCTACGAGCTCAGTGGGCGGGATTCACATCGAAGAGGTAGCTTTACCCGGCTCTTGGCTTAGTCTCAGTCCATTGACGCCGCGTGAACTGCCTTCTTCTTGTCACTAAATTTCAACCCCTGCGTGGAGTTGGAACCGTGGAGGGTAGAGGGGAGACCTGGAGGAAGACACAGAAAGAGCGTGGCTCGTGTGTTGCGATTCTGAGACCCCCTAATGGACTTCTCCCTCGAGGTCCCAAGCCTCCGAGCCTCCACGCACCCCTTGGGATCATGGCATTCGGGCACCAATGCACCCTCCCAAGGCTCAGGCGCCCATGCAGCCCCTCCAGAACCTATGCATCAGGACCCTCCCCCGTTCCGGGAGTTCTGGCGATCAGCACCCCCAGTCTACTTCCCGAAGACCCTGGCGTCTGTGCCCAGACCGCTGACCCCTCACCTGCGGGCGGCTCCTCCCTGGGGGCGGGGCTCCGGGCCCCTCCCTCGGGGGCCGCGGCCACTGCGGCGCTGCCTTCGGACTCTGCACCGCCCGGCGCGCGCCCTGAGATGGGAGGGCAGGGGAGGGAGCGCGCGCTAGCTGCTGGGCCCAGCCTCATTTCCATTCCCTCCTCCTCCGCCGGGCCGGTGGGGGCGTTAGTTCGCATGCGCGGTCCGGCCCGCGGAGGCTGCAGCGGGGGAGACGGGATGGAAGGAGCGGGTGGGTGCGCAAGGCAAGCCAATTGGTGAGCAATACCGGCTGAGGGACCGGAGGAAAGTGTGCCGAGGCTTGCAGGGCCTACGGTGGCTGACTGGAGTCAAGCACGTGCAGGAGTTAACACGGGGCAACTTAACTCAAGAGATTTCTTGAGACAACTTCCCTTTTGTATGTCCCCGTTCTTTTCGAGAATTCCGCTCGGAGCTTGAGTTCCGTCTCCCGAATCAGTTTCAAGAGCCCGCTGCCTATTCTACCCCTCAAGGCACTGGCAAGTAAAGGCTAGCTTTTTCCTCGAGAGAGGGAGGGAGCGGGACGGGTTCAGAGCGAGCTGATGCCCAGTAAAAGTCACGTTATTTGCACAGCGCCCGGCACTCTTCGCTGCTGGGTGATTCTGGATTCTCCGCCCCTCCCACCCTAATACTACGACCCTGGGGCCGGGAGGGCGGCGGTCTCCAGGTGCCCGGGCCCCCTTGTTCCCCGCTGGAGCTCCTGGTGCCAGGCCCGGGGTGGCTTGCTTGGCACCCTTCCCCCGGGAAGTGATGGTGCACCGTCCCGCCCCGTACAGGAATGACCGTGAAGTGCCCATAAACCACCCCCGCATGGGTGGGTCTTCAGTCTGATAGTCCACAAGGTCTGGCGAACCCTGGGAGCCGTGGGAGTTATACGGAAGGATTATTTGGGCTCATTTCCCCACTCACTCCTCCCAGATGATTTTGAAGCTATATACCAGACCTCATATCCCATAAAAATCTTTTTATTACACTTGGTTTGTTTCAGTCAGTACTTAAACAAGACCCACAAGTTGAATTTGTTTGCTTTGACTTTTCAGTGTCTTCATTGACATTTTAAAAGGTTCACTGGTTGCTGCGTGGAAAATGGATTACAGGGAGGTAGAGTGGAAGACAGAAGCCAGTGAGGCGGCTGTTATATATTAATTATATTAGTAATTATTAAAAAGTACTATTATAATTATATGATAATTATATTATTATATGATATCGATAATTATATGATATGATAATTATGTTATTAATTACAGCATCTGATATATGTCAGAAGCTGTCTTGAGTGTTTTATATATGTTCATTCATTTAATGCTGACAGCAGTTTTTCAAGAGGAGGCGCTACTATCATCTCCATTGTACAGAGATAAAAATGAGGCACTAAAACTTATCCAAGGTCACTCAGCCAGGAAATAGCAGGGCCAGGATTTGAACACTTGCAGCCTGACCCTGGAATCCATGTAATTTGCATCTATGCTTTGCTGCCTCTTTGACTGGGGCAGAGGGCGTGATGAGGGAAAAGTGGTCTGGTTGGAGAGGTTAATTCATCAGGGCTTAGTAATGAATTGGGAGGAAGTAGCAAGAGGAGGAAGGAGTCACAGATGACGATGAAATAGTGATAGCCACCTCCCTGAGAGCACAACACCTGAGCAATTGTTCTGTGCCAGGTCCTCTCCCAAACTCTTTGTATGTGTGAACTCATTGGATCTTTTCTTTTTTAAATTGAAGTATAGTTGCTGACAATACTATATAAATCACACGTGTAAAATCTAGTGACTCAGAATTTATAGAGGTTATACTCCTTTATAGTTATTATAAAATGTTGGCTATGTTCCCCTGTTGTAAGATATATCCTTGTAGCTTATTTTATACCTAGTAGTTTGTACCTCTTAACCTCTTACCCCTATCTTGCCCTCCCTCCCCACACTGGACCCACTAGTTTGTTCTCTATATCTGTGAGTCTGCTTCTTTTTTTGTTATATTCACTCGTTTGTTGTATTTTTCAGATTCTATGTATAAGTGATATCATACAGTATTTGTCTTTCTTTGTCTGACTTATTTCACTTAGCATAATGCCCTCCAAGTCCATCCATGTTGCTGCAAATGGAAAAATTTCATTCTTTTTTTTATGGCTGAGTAGTATTCCATTGTATATATATACCACCTCTTCTTTACCCATTCATGTGATGGACACTTCGGTTGCTTCCGTATTTTGGCAATTGTAAATAATGCTGCTATGAACATTGGGGTGTGTGTATCTTTTTTTTTTTTTTTCTTTTTTGGCTGTGCAGCATGTGGGATCTTAATTCCCCGACCAGGGATTGAACCCGTGTCCCCTTCAGTGGAAGCTCAGAGTCTTAACCACTGGACCGCCAGGGAAGTCCCCACATGTATCTTTTCTTAGATCTTCACAGTGAGGGAGGAACTATTTTCAACCACAATCTACAGATGAAAAAAGAGAAGCCCAGAAGAGTTTAGTTTTGAGCCTGAGGTCACACATTTGGGAAGGGTGATACCAGTTTCTAACTCTTAGGATAACTCGCAGCTGACTCTACAAAATCCCCAGAGGGTGTGCACGCCTTCAAGGGACAAGTAAGCGTCTACCAATCCTGCAGAAACAATTAGGAATGGGCCCCAGGGTGGAGAGGTCTTATTTGGGGGACCCTCAGAGTAAAGTGTGCCTCAGAGTCCCTGTTTTCCTGGCTTCTCTCTCCCCTGAGCTCCAGGCAATCCCTGTACCTCTCCTTGTTTTAGCCCTGATGTCTGCACCTCTTTCCCCCACCAACCAGACCAACCAGACCGAGGACTCACCTCTGAGTCTCCAGTTTCGCTCAGCTTGAGCCAGACGTTCAGGAGACCTCAATGGGAGGAATAACTGAACCAAGTTCTCTCCTTGAGTCTGAGCTTTTCTTTCTGCCTGTTTCTCCCCTCTCTTGGTGTTTCCCTGTTCTGAGAGATTCTGTCCTTCTCCCTGTACATTTCTCCCCTCTCTAATGCTCCCTGCTCCCCACATCTCTTCCCACCTCCACGATCTCCTAGAATCTTCGAGTGTATCTAAGTGACCATATTTCTTTGACAGACACCCCATTTCAATTCTGTATCTCCCAATGTATCTCTGAAAGTCTCTCCAGATCTCTCTCTCTCTCTCTTTGTTATCACTGAGTCTCAGCATCTTCCTTGTCTCTGAGTGGCTCCCTGAGTCTCTCCCCTGATAAAGCCCACCAGGAATATACTAGAAGTCTGGCAAAGTTGGGATTTATTGATTTGCTGTAGCTAAGGGTAGAGAACTGCAGAGGGAGTACGGGCTGTCTCCCCAAACACAGGGAGAGTCACAGTCTTCCCTTGGTATCCACAGGGGGTTAGTTCCGGGACCCCCATGGATACCAAAATTGGCCAATGTGCAAGTCCCTTATATCGAATGGTGTGGTACAGTTGGCCTTCTGTATCTGTGACAAAGTGACTTAGATCCTCCAGACAAGAGTGGGATGCCCTATTCTCACTACTGGTATGATTCCAAAGAGCAAGCTTTCAGACAGCCCATGACTAGACATTGTCTCAACTCTAGGTCCTTGGTGTAAATGAACAAAAGCCATTTTTAGAGGTTCACATTCCAAGAGAAGCCAAATGATCCCTAACCTGATTTTACAAGACATCGTGGAAAATTTTTTTTTTTTTAATGATTTCTTCCTGGGAAGACATAAACATTCCTGGTAAAATACTTAAGTGATTTTTAAATAAAGTTTAATGGGATAATCTCTTGTTCTGGGACCAGGCACTCAACCAACAGCCCCTCAAGACACTAAGGACATTGAACCAAACGTTTTTTTCTTTGTAACAATGAAGGTCCAACCACCTGCTTTTCCTATAAAATGGCCCTGGGGCTATGAGTGTATTGGCATCTCTTGTTGGGTTTCTCCTTCTCCAGGGAGAGAAGTCTGTGCTTCTCCCAGTGTGTCTCCCTCGCCCTTTGAATGTCTCCCTGCTCTTTGTTTCTCTGGTTTTTTAAAAAATTAATTTTTATTTTATATTGGAGTATAGTTGATTTACAATGTGGTATTAGTTTCAGGTGCACAGCAAAGGGATTCAGTTATACATATGCACACATCCATTCTTTTTCAGATTCTTCTCCCATATGGGTTTTTACAAAATATTGAGTAGAGTTCCCTGTGCTATGTAGTAGGACCTTGTTGTTTATCTATTTGATATATAGTAGTGTGCATATGTTAATCCCAAACTCCTAATTTATCCCACCCTACCCCCACCTTTCCCCTTTGGTAACCATGAATTTGTTTTTGAAGTCTGTTTTGTAAATAAGTTCATCTGTATCATTTTTTAAGAGTCCACATATAAGTGATGTCATATGATATTTGTCTTTCTCTGTCTGACTTCCTTCGCTTAGTATGATAATCTCTAGGTCCATCCATGTTGCTGCAAATGGCATTATTTCATTCTTTTTTATGGCTGAGTAATATTCCATTGTGTATATATATCACATCTTATTTATCCGTTCCTCCATCGATGAACATTTAGGTTGCTTCCATGTCCTGGCTACTGTAAATAGTGCTGCTATGAACATTGGGGTGCATGTATCTTTTCAAATTATAGTTTTGTCCAGATATATGCCCAGGAGTGGGACTGCTGGATCATATGGTAGCTCTAGTTTTAGTTTTTTAGGGAACCTCCATGCTGTTCTCCATAGTGACTGTACCAGTTTACATTCCCACCAGCCTTTAGGAGGGTTCCCTTTTCTCCACACTCTCTCCAGCATTGTTTGTAGACCTCTGGATGATGACCATTCTGACTGGTGTGAGGTGATTGTTCTTTGTTCCTCTGGGTCTTCCTGTCTTCTCCGTCTCTAAAGTCTCCCCGTCGGTCCCCAGCCTGGTTCCGCTCCGCTCCGCCCCGTCCTCGGCCCCAGGCACTTGTGGCCCCTTTAAGGCGGGCCCCGCCCATGCCCCTGCCCCGCCCCGCCCCTCCGGGGTTCAGCCTTGGGTGCGCTCGGTTTCCGCTGGCACCGCTCCGTCTCCAGCCTCGGGCGCGATGGCGGGGTCTGCACTGAGGGTCGCTGGCCGGCAGCTCAGTCAATACAGCGAGTCTGGAGCCCCCATCCTCCTACGGCAGGTTCGCAGTGGCTGGACCGGGGAGCGAGATTACTGGATCCTGGGTGGCGGTAGGGGTGGAACTCCTGGGTCCTTTAAATCCGGAGAGATACCCGGGCCCTGACGCCTGGATCTTTGCGGAGAGGGGTGTAGGGCTAGACTCTTGCGTCCTTTAAA